AACTGACTGAAAGTTAAGGAGAAAAGATGAGTTTTAAGTTTGAATTTAAAGGCCTCGACTGTCAGATATCGTGATAGGAAAACTTAAAGGGTGACAGATGGCTGTTTTTGTCAAAGAGGAATCTATGATTGAGTTCATTGTAACTGTCCCGGTGGGTCAGAGTCAGTCTCGATGAATGTATTTAGTATGAGAAGAATACTGTAAACTTTCTGAGAACAACTGCTATATATAACTGCTATTCTATATAACTCTGTTTTTTTGTTGTTCCAAGAGCACATGCAGATCCAAGTTGCCTCTCTGTCCCTCCCTCTCCCCGTTTTCTCCTCTTTGTCGTCTCTTTTCACACAAGCTTCTCTGTGCTGGACCATCAGCCGCCCCCCCCCCCTCCCTCTCTCTCTCTCTCTCTCTCTCTCTCTCTCTCTCTCTCTGTCTCTGTCTCTGCTGGCTGTCCGTGCCTCATTCCAGATAGAGGAGGTCGAGTGGATCAGGTTCTCTTTGGAGACAGCTGGAAGCTCCTTGACGTCCTCCCGGATCCATATTTTTATATATTTTCATAATCCATCTATAATTTTGTCATCCTGATTGTTTATTGTCTACTCTGTCATTTTATTATGCTGGTCTATTTGCATGTCCGTTCCTCTTCTTGACGTTTCTTCAATTTTTTTCCCTGATTTTTTTGTTTTTGTTTTTTCCTTATCCGAATCTATGGATGGAATCTAAGGACAGAGGGTGTCGAATGCTGTACAGATTGTAAAGCCACTTAAATAAAATTGACTTAACTTTACAATCCTTTGTGCCTGATTATCTGGCAGGTATCCATTACAACTACATATCAAAACCCTTCAATTATAGCTCCAGTCAACAGTTTGACCACTTTTCTAAATGAGTATGCAAGGTATGATAAATGGCAGCTAACAATAGCAAAAATATTAATGCTTGGTGCTGTGTACAATTAACTCTCACTGGCGAAACAAAACAAACTATTAAGATAACGATAATGTATGAAATATGAGCACTAAGGACAAACTACACAAATATTGTATATGCAAAGGTAGATATGATTTAACTACTATATGTTACCATTAGGGTAAAGACTTTACGGCGTTACAACACCGTTAGAGACGTTCAGTAAAAGGAGATGAGAAGAGAAGCGCGGCTGCTTCACCGAACACAAATCTCCAACAACAGGTGGGTGAGGGTGTCGTGGTGAAACTGGTGCTCAGTTTGAAAGCAATCTGATCCTGAGAAATGCTGCCCTAAAAATATATTCTGCTCAACTGCTTCTCCTGCCTTGCAACTGTCAGGCCTGTCTCAACCTTTGACCCCCCCCCCCCCACCAACACCACTACCACCCCAAGCACACACACACACACACACACACACACACACGGTTGTTGACACCTAAAACTCATTCATGTGCTCCTCTAACATGAACTGGGACTCTCCACTCAGACACATGTCGGGAATGGTCTTGCAAATGTTGGCAGCTTGACATATTTGACTGTAAAATGAGATAGGAAGATAAAGGTATACGGTTACACTCGCAAAGTCAGCTTTAGTAGCAACGTGCTACAATTAGCATGAGCTCTGATGAAATGATGGGTTTTAAACTCTAAAACACACAAATGCTGATTGTTTGAATTAAAAACAAGCACTATCTCAGTGTTTCTCACCTCTTTTTCTTTTCATTTAATACACAATGCAACAAATGTGTTGAAAGTAAAGTTAGCCAGTCCCCTTTAGCTCTCCTACTATGAGAGATGTGAGGTATTGGATAGTTTCACATCTGTTTCTGACACCATTGAAACTTTAGAGACAGTAATAACTACATTCATGCAGTTGTGATTGTTAAGTACTCCACTGATTTAGCATTGCACTCCTTTAACCTTGTGGGACTCATGATGGACAGTTTATAAAAAGGATCTTTTTTTTTACACGCATTCTGCTCCTTTATCAAAACCTGGCGTCTACATTACATAAAATGCAGCTCAACCTCCAGAAGTTTGGTCTGGTAGTCAGGTGTGTTCTGCGAGTAGCGTTTAATGTAGCTTTGAGCTGCTAGCCTCGAGCAGAGACGAGGAGCAGACAACAGAGGTCTTTTGGCTCATTTCTTTCTAACTCCACACAACCAGACTGTTTTTCATTTTCAAACTTGTAGTCTTCAGACTCGATCAACATTTACCTAAAAGACATCACTTGAGGGAGTTTATCAGACGTCATGCAGCTCCCTCCAGAGACACAGAAGGCCTACAGTTAAGATTTCCCTTTTTACAGTGACACTGCAAACTAGATTAAGTTCATTAATGGAATTTTTCCTTTCAAAGACAAGATTCATTCATATTCCACTCTGTTTAAATCATTCTTACGATTAACCCGAACCACCAAACAGAAAGATGTAGATATATTGTGGATAGGCTGGAATCACAAACATCATATCATATCAATTATTTTTCTCCAGGTAGCTCATATAATATAACTGTATCAATTGTTTTTAAAAAGCGTGTTAATCTAACAAGTTGCTCCTATATTTTGTGTTAAGTGTTTGAAGCAACACTGTTGAGGGGTATGTGTTACATCCCAATCATTTGGCTTCAAACCACACATGACATATGTCGTACAAGGTGTTGTGGATTTGATGGACCCATTTGAAGCTGAATACTTTTAGATGTTATTTAGTTCAGGTTAAGATGTGTTTATGCTCCCACCATCTTCACTGAAGGTTCAACTGAGATCAAAATGGGCCGACAATGACTGAACTTTTATGTCAGAGTGAGCCTTTTCTTAAGAGCCAGGACAATTAGTATTTTTAAAGGCTACACACTCCAAGGAGCAGTAAGGTCATGCTGGGCTGCTAGCTCAACAGCTTATTTCATGTTTAACATCCATACCCAACTGCAGATTAAAAGTGTGCAGAGCAGAGGGGCTTCAGAGGCCCACTGACACTGTCTATTTCAGGATCTTCTATTTATTGCCTAAGTCTGGTATGCACAGGCCTTTCTCTCAGGTTTCATGCTCCTTCAGGCTCTGTTGCTCAAAGAAGTTAAATCTTAGAAAATATCAGGCTTTACCCAAAGCTGAGTGGTTTAATCCACTCCAGTGTGTAAATTAGGTCAGGCTGCTGCAGCAACAGACATTCCCTCACAACAAGCAAGCAGAGCTGTAAGAGCTCCTGCTGGAGTTTATGTAACAGGTCCTTCTTGTTAAGGACTGGGTACTATGGAGATAACAGCAACAGAAAGTCCCTATAGGGATATTACAGCAATGTATGGTTATAACAAAGAAAGTCAACCTAGTATTACACGCACATTCTATTTACTACACAAATATCAGAAATAACTTAGAACAGTTTAAGTGTTAACTCCCATGCTAGTAAGTATATTATTCTAGATATTAACTTTGTAAATGAATTAGTGCTTATAGGCACAGGTCTGATTAGTCTATAGCATACTTGCCAAAGAAAACCCGTGATGTCTTAAAACACACTGACCTGGCTCATACTTGAGGTAGAGGATGGACACGATGTAGTAAGCGAGATCAAACACGGGAAACATTCCCATTTTAGAGAAAATTTGGGCATATTCGCCCAAATTTAGAACTGCCAGGACTTCCATGTTGCCTCTCTGATAACTAGTGACCCTCCTGTTTTTAATGTTTTTGTTCGTCTCCTTCCTTCAAATTATTATTCCAACTGCGCAGTCTGGATCGTGAAACACCCCCAAACCTGGACCGCCGACTCTCCACCAAACCCCCTTCGACAGTGGAAAGCCTGTGACACTCAAGCCCTCCTATTAATACCACTCATCTCCACAGCCTCAGCATCATCGTGATGTGCGGTCCGTGCCAGCTGCTCCGCTTTTTAGGCGACGTGAGGTCGATGTCAGCAGCTTGAAATGAGGAAAAAAAACGTGTTCATCGTCGACATAAGCATTATTTCACTGAGTAACAACGCGATTGGAGGTTTGTATTGTAGCCTGGAAACACAACAAAGGCAGAGGCACGCGTCCAAAGCTTTAATACGGACTAAGACTCATTCATCCGCTCTTATAAAAACATCCCGCAACCCGGATCAGATCCTGCACCGAGGCTGCAGCAAACATGTGGCTGTTGACACAACCGGCTGTTTACATTCTTTCAGATGATGCAGACATGTTGTGATTAAAGGCGCAGCACTACCGAAACCTACATACATAATCAGCAACCGAATTGTTTCTATTTTAGAATTTATTTCATTTATTTATCTTTCTATTTTTGCTTATAATCATTGTGAACAATAATCAGAGCAATGATCTCTGCAACCACAAGGGGGCATCAAAGCCGTCAAATTGAAAGCCTTCCAGCTCCCAAATTTCCATTTAAACATGCTTGCTTTATTAGATGGGTGAAAATGTCATCCATCTGAATGATCCTTCCACTTAACGTCCTTATTTTGAAGTAAGAGCTATTCAAATGTGTTCAGCAAAATGCTTCTGCCAAATATTGTTGCTCTTGATTATTGTATTCAACTGGGTAAATTAAATGTTTTTTTTTTTTTACTTATGCTGTGTGGTAAAACCAAACACAGTTAAAGTTCATAACTAAATAATTAACTGTTTTTGACATTACTATCCAAAAGGTTTTGAGGGGATTCTGGAGCCTAAAATGGTTGGATATATTTCGACGGGGTCCAGCTGTAATAAATAAATATATAAATGGATAATTAAGTCGTTTAGCGTTTAAGTATCATACAGCTGGAGGTATGGTTTATCGTATGTAACAGAATTTTAAAAAGCATCTATAAAACCAAAAACGGAAAATCCACCTCTGCAGTGATCAACGTGGTGCTGCTATTGCGTTTCTTGTCTGCAGGTGACGCTCAGGTATCACATACATTCTAGGTTATGTTTATTCCCAAAATATAGTCTTTCAGGTATCATTTTCAGATGCTGTATGTTGTTGTACGTCGGCGGCACAAAACCTGGCAAGCCGTCATCCGGGCAACAATCCCCACACACAGATCTCTGAGACGTCATTGGTCACATTCCTGATTGCGTGAACGAACACGGAAGTGAGGCGTCTCTGTGATGTGATGTTATCAAAATGATCGGAGAGCTGTTGATATTCGGGTAATTTTATTTAATTGTATTTGTATTTGTATTTAATAGAACATGTGTGTGTTATTTTGCAATGAGTTGCTGGTTCGATGGCGGTGTATCAAGCTAGCTAAATAACAAGCTAGCTCTGTGCTAATGCCAGCTCACCAGCTAGCATTAGCTCAGATAACACTATTAACTTTACCTATCAACACACAGTTTGTCTCTCTGTGCTCTCTAGGACCTTACTGGTGAATGCAGGGGCTGTGCTGAACTTCAAGCTGTGAGTATCAACGTTATGGTCACACAGTTTAAAACCTCACATCAGAGTTGCAAAGCTAAATTAACAAAGCAACCAGTTGAAGTTTAACTGTGGGTGTTTTGCAGCAAAAGGAAGGAGTCTCAAGGATTTGGAGATGAGTCCAGATCACAAACAACAGGTGTGTATATGTGTGTGTCGGAGAGAGAGAGGTCACAAAAAGGTGTGTGCCAGGTAAATGCAGTTCTCAAAGCTCAGCCATGAACATCTGTCTTTTAGGTGACAACATCAGAGAGTTTCTGCTCAGCCTGCGATACTTTCGGATCTTCATCGCTCTATGGAACATCTTCATGATGTTCTGCATGGTCCTGTGAGTAATCGACTTACTGTAGACATGTAACGGTTGGTTGTGATAGTGAACAGGCTGCAATGTCTTAAGAAGCACTTACATTATTGTGCTGATGGGATTTTGACAGTTTTTGTCCCCAAATGTTACTTTAAAGGATATAATTGCACGTGAACTAGTAAAAACACATTGCCGAGCCACGTTGTTGCACTGGCTACCATGTTTGTTCATTATAATAACCACTGTATTTTTATTTGTGTCATTCCTTCATACACCATCTTGGTGTTGGGAACCCTCACTGGAGCACCACATGTTTATTAATTCACATATAATGAATAGTCTCCAACATATACGCAGTTTACTCTTGTTGCCCTGATATTTTAGAAAATGACTAAGCCTATTTACAGAGGTGTCTATATATCTGTGACCCGTTATTGGAGATTTACACCTTTATTATCTAATGGGCTATGGGTGCCACAGACAGGGTAGGGAAGTCAGAAAGTACTCGGACACGGATTAATGCTGTGTTGGTTTTCATATGGAATGTGTTTGTTTGACAAATTGAGAGAAAATGCAAACGCCAGCGTTCTTCTTTAAAGAATAATCTCTCTGTCAACTTTCTGACTATGTTAAGTTAAAACATTCTCCGTGAAAGTACAGAAATATCATACCTTGTATTAAGAATTTAATGTGACACATTTTCAAGTAAGAGCCCATTAAATTGTCTTCGGGGTTAAAGCCATAATCCAAATGTAATTAAACCAAAAGGGATCTTCAACAACTAAGTCATTTTTTTCAGATTGTATTAATAGGTTTGTTGACAGCCATAATGTTTGTAGTACAAATACATTTAACTCATGAAGTAATGCGTAAAATATTTTTTTAATATTTATGTTTGCAAGTCTATTTCCCTTCTTCCATCATTCATTCCTCCTTTTAATTGTGCTTCAGTTTGTGTTTCCTTACATGTCCCAGAATACTTTATTAAAGAATCCTAGAAATTCATGAAGTTTTTATTTATCTAACTGGCTGATCGTCTTCACTCCTGACAGGTTGTTTGGGTCTTGATCAACATTTGTGGCGACTGGACTTCCATCAGGATGCTGATTTTCCGAGGTGGATTCTATAAACTTCTCCTTAATCTGAGTTTGCTGTTCTTTTGGCCCTTTTAACTGTAATTAGGCTACATTTTCTTTACAACCCTAAATCTTAAATCTGCTTCTGGCTGTACAGGAATTCATGTATCGCTGTATTTATTTTGTCTTACAGAAGTTGTTACATTTGTACTTTGATCAAGCTGTAACTGCACCAGCACCCGTTGCCTTCGCTGGATATGTATTGTCATGTTCCCCTGAGCTTCTTTATAGAACATGAGCTTTTTTCTCCAGCCTGCCAGTTTGCTTTTAAAAGAAACAGCAGGGTTGAAAATTATGGATAACCTTCACTGACAGGATGAAACATGTTTTTATGTGACTTGTTACCTGTGTGTCATCATTAAGGGTCCCGCAGTAAGCAAATTATTCAAATCTGGTGGAGAACCTTGTGAATTACCAAGATAATCTTGCTTAATCATCCCTGTGTCTCTTTTACTTGGACAGCTGTCACAATTCAGATGAATTCACTTAATGAACTCTACATCTCCTCTGTACAAACATCAACACATTTACTCACCAGCTGTTATCTTCTAGTGTAGTGTTGGTCGATACTGCATATGTTAATGCAGACTTTAAAAAAAAGAAGACTTTTCCTTTATTCTGGTGCACGTGCTGTAAGTAAATGTATATGCCCTACAATGTAAATGTGTTCTTATTCTTAACTATACAAATACAGTTTTCTTATCCAATGTCTGTTAATTGACTTGTATGGATGTGCTTGTCTATTGTCAGAAGGGATGCATGATCCAATTCTGACCTCATTACACCTAAAGTACAGTTTTTTGTCAATGTCATCAATTCTTATAAATACTTTATATATACTACATACCAATTATATACAGTATGTACTGTACACTTATTACACTATAGAGTTTGGGGCAGTTGATATATAAAAAAAATTACAATTTGCCGTCAAATATATTTTATATTAAAATTCAAACTGCTACTTTAGAATCTGAATGACCATTAAATGTAACAAATATAAGCAAAATGGTTATTGTCTCTTCATAGCAAAAAGGTCCTGGGTTAGAAGCCATTGTCTGTTGGAATGTGATGTAATGGATGGAAATTAATGAATGTTAAGTTCTGTGTGGCCTCGGACCAGTTGGGAACCATCTCTCGAGAGATATATTTCTCCACTCACTCTTCGAGGGTCGCAAACACTCTTATTGTGGTGTCGGATCAAAACACTAGAAAATATATATATATTTTTTCAAATCCCAACGAGGCAACAGTGCCATCAAGTGACAATGAAAGAAAATAGATATACACATTAGTGTGTGTATATATATATATATATATATATATATATATATATATATATATATATATAAGAAATAAGGTTTTGCCAGCTTTTATTTTTTTTAATAAGGGTGAGATGGTTGCAAAGTAATATTCATTTATTTCTATTTTTAATTTACATTTATAGAAGAGGAATTCTGCCTTAATAACAATTGCAGTTATTATCTTAGCTAGAAATCAAATATATCTTTAAAGATTTTGCATAATATTTTGTTATAACTATTTTATATTTGCACGTTAAAAATATCATTTTGAAACCTTTGACGGAAATATGTTAGGGTATAAAACGTCGGAATTAATTAAAAACAAAACACAAAAACCCTTTGTCGTGTAGAGTACACTGTTTAATTTAACGCGACATCTTTCTCGTGGGGGTCTCTCACAGAACGAATCGGATGTGAACAATTGGTTACGTAAAAGTCTCCCATCATGCACTGCGCGCGCTCTTCACAAAAAGCCCCATGAGAAGACCTGAGAGGAGCAGGCTACCAGCCGAGGGGGGTAGCCGATACCCGGAGAGGTTGCTCGCTGCTCGTCGTCCGAATTATTAAATCGTGACGGCAGCGAATGAAAACAAAAAATAAAAAGCATCATAAAACATGGTGCTCGCTCCCAGAGAAGGTCTTCCGTTGGGCCTGTGAGTGTCGGCAGGTTCTCCACCGCCGCCTCTTCGGGGGATTCTGCTGTCTTGAGTCCGTCCTGACCCGCGACACCGCAGGGCGATGACAGCGGCTACAGCCACTCCGCAGGTGATGAGAGACCGGCTACTGCAGGCCATCGACGGCCAGAGCAATGTGAGTATAACCGCTAGTTTCCAGAGGACGGACTGGGCGCAGAGAGGCAGACAAAAAAGGCCAAGCTGACTCTGGGTTGACAAAGTGGGGGCAGGCAGTGAATGGCGAGTTATAGTATGTTCCTGCTAATTAGCTGGCTAACATCACTAGTTGGCTAAAGTAACTAATGCTGGGCATTCCAGCGCCTGGCTGTCTGACTCCTGCTGGCTAATGTTGATGTAGCCACGTTAGCTTAAGGAGACTGGGTACTTGCTAAACTGAGCTACCAGGTAGGAAGTGTAACGGTACACCCAGAGGTTCTACTCTTTAGTGACAGAGACGTTGATTAATTGGGGCTTCAGGATGATCTTCACATAGATTACATTATCACCTATACTCTTCTCTATCATACAGTTGATTAGATTATGATGACATGTTACAGCACTTTTAAGTTGTGCAGTTCTATTATACCTCTGGTGATTGCCAGACAAAGAAAGATGCTGTAAAAAAAAGTACGGCTATCTTATAAGCTTGACTAACTAAAGCTGGAGATGGTAGTTGCTGATTTGGAGACATTCAAGCATGGCCTTTTGTAGTATAATGTATACTGCACTGCTATGTTCAAAAGGTTTAAGCACTTAATGAGCTGAGGTTTGCCTCTAGATATCCTCTGCATGATTACATACAGATGTTGAGGGGGGGCTGATATGACATCCTCTATCGTGAAGTCTATTCATAATCTCACAGGAATGTGTTTTTGGGCCAATCCAGCTAATTAAACGTACTTCATATAACATTAAAATCCAGCAGAAATCCTAAAAACAAATCCAGTATCCAGTCCTCATTGATTAACCACATTGCCTGCAATGGTCCGTCACTATCGGAAATATTAAAGGGGTCACTACCACAGTAAAGCACTTCTATCTTGTTGTGGGATAAAATGGTGAATTTGCATGCAATCTCAGTTTGTCATATTGAGCCTGAAACCAGTAGAAGTACACTTGACATACAGGTGCACATCTGAAAGTCTATTCAAATCAAGCCTTGAACCTTCTAACAGCCTTTCTCTCTCTCTCTGGAGAACTTTGGCTAGTTGGGCCTGTGAGGTTATGAATCACACATTGCAACATCTGCATAGAAACAACTGTACGTGGGCGCTGACAATAATTTGATGTCTCAGTATTGTAATATATAAATGTATGCATCTTTTCAGCAGATATGCAACATGGTGGTAGTTATGGAGGTGATCTCCTTTTTGGAGAAATATCCGATCACCAAAGAGGCACTGGAGGTGGGTTACACACTTGCAGTACGTGAAAACAAAACTACATGCAGTTAAATCCTGCGTGGTCATAGTTGCTTTTTAACATCAATCTTATCTCCTTAAAGGAAACCCGTCTTGGCAAGCTCATCAACGATGTCCGGAAGAAAACCAAGAATGAGGACCTGGCAAAAAGGGCCAAGAAGCTCCTGCGAAACTGGCAGAAGCTAATTGAGCCCGGAAAGGGTGAGGTGTTGTCCAAAGGACACAGCGGCGCATCGTGGTCTTCCAATGGTGGTGCTCATCCCTGCATCTCCACTACAGCGGCCACCACGCCATCAGGTAAAACGGGTCCAGAGTTGAAGAACAGAAACGACTTCAACAACTGTTACTCCCCGAGGGTGGAGAAACCGAGCAACAGGAAACGTAAGGGTGACCAGAAGGAAGGACAGCTCTTGCCAGCCAAGATATCCAAAACGACTCTTAATGATAAAATTCACAACTCCAAACACCTGCCGACCAATGGGATTGGTGGTAGCTCTGAAATTTTGACAGATACTCGTGCGCATCAGTCTTTGGACAGGGAGATTTCTGAGCCTTTGGACAATGAAAGGCTAAATAAAATCCCAGTCAATGCTGTAAAACCTCATCCAAGTGCCCCGGGATACATCAAGCCTCCGAGCACTTCTTCTTTGCTAAAAGCATCAGTTTTGCAGCAACAAGCCAGACAGGAGAAAGCTTTCTCTGGGGGCCAGTGTCGACCCAGAAGCCCACGCTGTTCCTTGCACAGTCCTCAACCTCCAAAGCAGGAAGCTGGTGTCAAACAGACTGCAGCACAGGCACAGGGTCTTTCTAGCCCCACTGTGAGGCCTGGGCCTGTGGACACCTCTGGGCCGGAGCCTTCCACTCAGCCTTTCACCGGTTGTGTTCAGGGTTTGCACACACCCGGTTCAGATTTGGATTCTCAAAGCAGGCCTCCGACTACGTCTCTTCTCAAGTCTTGTGCCTCCTCCTGCAGTGACGTGCTTAGTTTGGAGGATGATGGTGCAGTTATCAATACGGAGAAAAGGAAAAGACAGAAATACAGGCCTAAGGACCATGTGATCAATTTAGATGGACAGACTGTAGAGGATGGCACTAAACCCGTCAGGTTAAAAGACAGGAGACTGACATTTGACCCTGTAACAGGACAGATAAAATCCTCCTTTAATAAGGAGTCGTGCCAGGAGGGGGGGGTCAGCCTGGACCACAGACCTGAGCCTCAGTGGTCGGAGCAGCCAAAGCAGACTCCACCAGTCCCTCCCAGTCCCTTCCAGCAGACGGACTGGAAAGAGCTGTCGAGGAGCGAAATCATCCAGTCGTACCTCAGCCAGCAAAGCAACGTGCTGACGTCGTCGGGCGCACACACCCCCGGTGCACACTTTTTCATGACCGAGTTCTTGAAAAAAGAGGAGCCCCGAAGTACAGATGTCAAGAAAACACATGTGCTGGCACCAGAGCTCCCAGCCAGGGATTTACCGGGGGTCAGCAGAGAGGTCATCAACGAGGACCTGAACAGATTACACAAGCATCACTGGTCCGGGGTCAACGGCTGCTATGACACAAAGGGTGCTTGGTATGACTGGACGGAGTGCATCTCTTTAGACCTGCACGCAGACGAGAGCAGGTTAAACATACTGCCGTACGTCTGTCTGGATTGAAACGGAGGTAGGGTTGTGAGCTGCCTTCATCATATCGCGGATCAACTCTGCGTGTGTGTGTGTGTGTGAAGGCACTTTTATTTCAGTGTACGCTGCTGTTTTGCACCGTTGGTGAAAGTGGAATTGGTGTGCCGTCTGCTTGGGTGTGTGTGTGTGTGTGTGTGTGTGTGTGGAGCGGGGGGGGGGGGGTGATCAGTGTTTTTAGGAGTTTTTGAACATTGTGTTAGGACAGCACGAAGAACTGAGGCTATGCATTATCTGAACATTTAGCTGTATCTGTTCAGTAATTGTACAGAATAAGTTCTGTACAAGTTACTGGCCATTCTGTACTGGACATTCTTCATATGGGGAGAGGACAACACATTAAACTGCACAGCTACATTTTATTCCTGTTATCTACATGCCACGTACATTTAGTCCATAGTGCAGTATTATTTATTTTGACTTTAAGATAAATTTGTAGTTAAAGTTTAAAAGAAAATGGGACTCGATCAACTCAATCACCTTTCAATAGAGAGTAGTAAGTAACATAATTGGAGCAGTCTGCCAATGATGTTTTTGTTACGCTGACTCGTGCATCTTGAAGGCTATTGAGCGGTTTGAAGCTGAAATGAATGCTATCTTCAAGTAGCTGTCATTGGTACCATTGGTACTAACAACTATCTACTGCTGTGCAAAACTTTTATCTTTAGAACAGATGTTTACCCATTGCAAAACTGTCGTGCAGCCACTTTCAGCTGAAAAGTAAACTGATAAGTCAGCTTTAAACATTTGAATATTGTTCTTGTGTTGTTGGGTTTGAATGCTGTTCGATAAAGTAAACTGCCAGATGTGACTGTGCAGTTTGGGGTGAGGGAAAGAGAGGCTGGTATGGGGGTTGAAAAATGCATGTTGCTGATAAAGAAATGTGGCTGTCATGTATGATATTTATTTCTATTTTAATTTTAAAATTTATATACATGTTCAGGCTACACAAACATTTTTGTTAGATGGTTTTGTTCAGAATTGGTTCAGTGATGCAGCAGTGACAGTCCAACACAGGAAACTCTCCAAAATGACACATTCTGATAATGTGAACTCTATTTTATACTTGCCTTTTCCCTTTACTGTGTATTTAGGCTATAAAATATGAATTGAAATGGCAGAGCGGTTAATACTACTAGCTTGCATCTTTGTACTGTCAGGACGAACTGAGAAATAAATTGACATGCTGGATAAAGTACTTAATATCATTCCTGTAGATATTGTTTGCCTTATGGAAACCTGTGTTTTCCCTAAAGACGGAGCCTTAGTGAATGTACAGAAATTAGCCTTTTGTGTTCCATTGAATGCAGAAGAGGACATATTTGCTACTTAGTCCTTTAAGTGGACATGTTGATATGTGTTAATAAAAAATAAAAAAAACTGAAGAAATTGTGATTTTCTTTGTACTTGTCTATTGCTTACTCTTTGCAATTACTTTTTTTTTTTTTTTTTTTAACCTAACTGGCAAATTAATTTCCACAGTGCAGAATCATCACTCTTTTTGGCAACAACATTCCTATGCTCATGAGAAAAAGGGCATTCTGAAAAAAATACTGGAATTAAAAAAAAATACAAGAAGCCTACGTTTCACAATGTCATGGTTATGTATAGTTATTAGCTATTTCACAATGTGTTTCATTTTGAACACTTTCATGTTCAGGGAATGGGTCATCACTTCTCAAGCATTTCCAAGTGGTTTGTTTTAAATGCATTTGTTTTTATTTGTTATTTTAATTTATATTTTAATGGTTGATTATATAAATTCAAACGCCAATATCTACCATTTTGAATGCAGCCCACAGCAGATAAATTCAATAAACGCACGTCAGAATAAATGCTTTTATTCTGAAACGTGTCACCGGAAGCGGAGCGTACCCTTCATTGTTGGTAGTCGCGCGGCGCCTGCCTCCCTCCCCCAATGAGCCAGACGCACATCGCCGGTGACTCGTCACTCCGCGCTGGAAGATGGCTGCGGCGGACCGGCCCCCTGTTAAGGAAGGGTTCCGGATAGTGTTCCTGTGTGTGGGCTGGTACACAGTCAGCTCGGGGGGCAACATCGTCAACAAAATCATCCTCAATGGATTCCCGTACCCTGTCACGGTCTCCCTGTTTCACATCATCTCTATCGTCGTCTTCCTGCCGCCGTTGTTGCGGGCATGGGGAGTCCCCAAAACAGAACTGCCGAGCAAGTACTACCAGTGGTACATCCTGCCTTTGGCTTTCGGGAAATACTTTGCATCTGTGTCGGCACACTTCAGCATATGGAAAGTACCTGTTTCATACGCGCACACCGGTGAGTACGGGCCGTTTGACTTCATATGATGTGATAACGTGAGGCCACCTGGGTGACTTGATGATGTGTCTGTACCGTCAGCTGATGTTAGCTTCGCAGCTAGCGCCGGACAACTACACCAACGTTTAACTAGCTCGTGGGCCCCGCGGTGGTGTGGCGTGGTGGAGGTCGTGAACAGACGGGCTTTCATGAAGTTAATGGAGTCACCGTGGGTCCTCTAACTACTGGTCAGCTTTAGGCTCCATTTAAGCATTAATAATTAGCTGCTGTTAGCTAGCTAGCCAACTTAATTAGGGCTGATACACTAGCTACGTCAGGGGGAGGGTCCAGCACTGAACCTGCACCAAATAAATAATAGTAATAAATAAATGAATAAAAGACGTTCTGCTAAAATGCCTATATATATATATATATATCTATATCTATATCTATATATATCTATATATATATCTATATATATCTATATCTATATCTATATATATATCTATATCTATATCTATATATATATCTATATATATATATATATCTATATATATCTATATATATATCTATATATATATCTATATATATATATCTATATATATATATATATCTATAT